GTTTCATTTCGAGTGGTTCATACTATGATACAAACTAAACAATCCTTTTCAACCAGTGCTGCAGCCCGCTTATCCATCCGAGACAATGCTGGTTGTTACTTCCATTAGTTGCCGCTATTCAAAATCATTTCCTTCGTAATGGTTGATTTACATCCTCCGCATTTATGTCCCTGCTCGATATACTCCCAAAACTATGGGAATTTACTGTGCCTCACTTACCATCCTAAGTGTACAGTTTATTGACTCAGGAAACAGATTGATTTGCTCTTTCAACACCTTTACCGCCTTTAGCCTTTATTCATTGAGAACACGATCAGTTTAAATTTTGTTCATCATACTTTGTTAGTTTTCTTGTTTTCTTATTGTAAACGTCTCTATAACATTTTTACGAGAACTATGTCTTCCGCAAACCTACATTCTTGTCATTTTGCGTGTGAGTCATTTCCAATCACCAAATCTGTGATATATATGAGCTTTATCCATGTTTAGGCTGTTTAAATTCCTAATTGTGAAAGTGCAATTTTCAACATACATATCACGTAGAAAACAGGATAATACAAGTGTACATCATTCACTGTTTGATAAATACAATAGGAAGTATCGCTCTGCTTAGGCTGGACGTGTTATTGGGCTACAAACTATTTACTATTCGTTACCACCCGCTTCGATTAAAATATAATCAACTGGCAGACTTCATATTGTAATATTTATTGAAGTTTATCGAGAGAATTTTATTCATCTTCGTCTTCCTCCTCGTCACAAGACAGCGTCAGAAAATTAGTCAGGTCCGCAGCCTTACATTTTTCAACAAATGCAGGACATCCATCGCATTGGTTACATTTCACTTCCAAATCGTCCACATGAGCCTGTTGCAGATTCTCTGGGACGGAGAAAATAGGAAATGATCAATTTAGGTTCTGTTTGAGGCAATCATACTAAATATACGTATATTTACGTAAATATTCCGTTGGATAGGACTTACCGCAATCGCACTGGGTCATTGCTTGAGCTAAGCACATCGACTCCGGTATTTGTGCTTTAGTTAGGACCAAGTGTAGAGCGATGAGCAAAATTATTACCTTCAAAAACAATTCAATATTCAAAAACAACAGCTTACTTTCATGATTATTGTCGAGTGCCCTTAACATAACTCATTGTTCCATTTACTTATATAGGGATTTTCGGTATTATGTGGGCTTCAGGTGGAAACAATCAATGATATTGCACCCAGGTAACGAAAGATATACTGACCAATGGCAGAAATATCAATGGATCACTCATGTTCAGGAATTAATTTCTTTGGTAAGCGTTTGGGTACGACGCAAATGGGCACGATCATTGATCTCTATCACTGATTTTTGAAAATAGTCTGATTTTGATTCAGTTCAAAAACGTTTCTTCACTTGTCACTTGTCACATAATGTGTTTAATCATTTTTCGAGTTGACTGTGGAAAGGTTTTTTGTTTTAATCATGTAAAAACATACCATGCAGTACAAGTAAGTTTCCGTGGGAGTCGAACGTTCAAGTAGCATTATATTAATGAGAAAACCATTCACAGGCAAATGGAAGTGTTGCATCATTTTATTTTATTTAGGTCCAATTATAAATTATTATTGCATCATATAGCGTTTCTTTAGAAAAAACAAGGGACTCAAACCAAAAAAGTGCTATAAACATAAGAAACTGAACGCAGGATTAAAGTGGTTTATAAAGCGGCGTATCCTAATCTCACTCAAGAAAAGCGCGTTGCAGACTGATCAATCGTTCTGCTGAGCAAAATTCATGTATGATTCATTTCCCGTCATTCAAAATGTACTTTCGTTTTTGTTAATACGCAAAAAGGGCCACCTTCCGTTTCTTTAATAACCCTAAATCTCATTGTAATTACCTCGCTGTTTCTGAAACTCCAAATCAAAACAGATGTAGTAACTTCCACCTCATGGTACTTTCAATTTGCTCACAAAGTATCTGAGAATTGTATTATTTTAGGTGAATGCTTATTGAGTACGTTACTGTGTTTAACTTCATTTGGTCAACAGGACTCTTACCGCATCTACGTTTTCTTTTTCGTTCGGTGTAATATTGGTATTCAATATTTTTCGAGGAAGCTTTATAGAACTAAATGAGCATGGTAATCTTCAAAATGTTTATCAAAATATATGATGTATTTCAAATTTAAATAGACCTGCACTTTTCATCGTTTTCCATATTGTTTACCTTTCTATAACTACAATAAAACTGCAATTGAATACTAAAGTGTAGTACAGTATTACCAATGATAAATTCACTTAGTTACTACTAATCGGCATAGATTAAAGGTGGGAGCTTCCATAAATTGATTACAGAGATTTCTCTCGTGCTGCAGGCAACTTAGTATTGCTCCATTAAATGTTGAGCCGCGGCTGATGACGCGGTCCTGCGATTTCGACAGTATTTTCTTTGCCTCCAGCCTTACCTCCAAAGTGTCATTTATTTTGAATACTATTTAAAACACGTTCACAGAACGTCATGAATAATTGTCTCCTTGTCTGCCTACATACAGTGCTTTGTGCTGGCATTTGAAATGTGTTCAGATTAGTGTTAAAATGCAAAGATTAGTCATACAAACGAATCGGACTCTGTCTAAGTAGTTGCGATTTGTGAACCACACGCCAGTCAAGTGACTTACAACTAGGCACCTAACGATTGAGGGAAAAAGCGTTTTCGACCAGGAATTAATAATGTGTTCCTGATAGCTTTGCTTTGTACTTAAACAGTTGCCAAAAGGAAACATACTGCTATATGGCCACCATGATTGGGAGTATAAATGTTGTGTTCATTCAATTTGATGTCATTTAACATTCTGTGATAAATTAGTCCGTGTAATGATTCAGGACAATTATTATTTTCTCGTACGAATTTGGACGTTTAATACAATTGTGAAGCAAGTAATTTAAAATATACTTTCATGTTCATTCAGAATAACATTACATTCATATATGTCAGAGTGTACTGAGTCTCTGAATAACTTAGGTATACTTTTCCACTATTATCAATATAATCAGCTACCTATGGATTGCACTGTTTTGAGTTCCTTTGAAGGATACAATACCAACACAAACGGCTCCATGCGCTTCGTTCATTTTTGTAATCACCTACGTTAGTGATAAATATTTGAACCAATACGATGAGAAATGACCAGATTTTTCACGAAAAACATAGCTGTTTCATTAGCAGTGACAAACAATTCGTGTGTACGATGACGATTTTGTACTTTTTATGTTTTGGATTTCGATATATTATTACGGTGTTCAATATCTTCGGTCTGCCCAAAACATATTCCATTATTTTTATTACTTTTCTTCATACACATCAAAGTGAATTTGAAAGGTTTCTCATGTTCATTATGAAATAATGACTTGCGTTTCTTTCTCATTAAAAATATAGACGTGTTCATGTCTAGCTCATGAAACGTATATCATGAAGTGCCTGATTTCAGATTTCCACTTCTATATTGTCGGATGTTAGTTGTTTTTGTATTTTTAAAATGTGTAGTTGGATCCGAAGTGTCAAATGTAAATGTATATTTTATTGAACCACATTTTTAGAATGCAGCATAACCTGCAGGCGTCGTGGTTATGCGCATTCAAACATGTGACGAAGGGTGTGGAAAATTTCACCATCTCGGATATCAAAGGATCTTTGTCTCAAACCCCCGAGTCCTAACCTGTTTTTCTCCTCCACGGTGACTTACTCCCACAACCCTCATAGATCTTAAAAGGGTTCTGAACAAGTAATTGGCAAAAGGTATCTGGTTTTAGTACAAAAATATACTGAACATTTTGAGATACTTTTGGAATAGCAATTTCAAAGCGAAGAATGCAACTTATAATGCCATATACTTTATGTCCTTTATGGTTTTCGGCGCTTTGCCTTGTCTTTATCTTTAATTCAAATGAAAAACCCAGCAGCTGATTTGTTTCGTCCGTTTTCTTAGAAAACTGTACATTTTCAAATAGATTATGTATGTGAAAAAACTACCACCAGTGAGTGGCTATTAAGTGCTAACTATGTTCTCACAGATAGTTTTTAGGCTTGTTGTTTGCACGACGAGAAATATTGTATTAAATATTCAAAACAAAAAGTTATTTTATATTTGAATATTTGTATAAGTTTCAACTTTTGCCACAGCTGCAATGGATCGCGTGGAAAATATTGCTCCGATTGACCGGAACAAACATTTACATGCCAACACAGTAAATCAGTGGATTTCTTTTGGGCTACAAAACCACAACAGTGATTTGTGCTCATAGAACAGCAACCATTGAGATCATGATCCAGTAAGGCACTATTTCGTGGTATAAGATGATTAACTAAATTTGCATTCGGATGCGGTCCATTCATTCTATTTTTAGCACAAATGACTCCTATCCAAGTATGACAGAAATTTTATAGCAAGAAATGTTCACAGATAACTCAACATATCAAACATAAAAGATTTTGCATTTGACCACTGAAAACTCCAACAATGTACACCCGCATTAGTGAGCTTTTACGGATGTTTTGCTATTTCCTATCCTAAGACTGAGCAGAAATTAGGCAGATTGATTCATTTGAGGACTAAACTCCGTTCAAATGAAAGGCATGTTTCCGAATACAAAAGAATGCGTTTTCAGCGTGGGCTAACATAATATGATTGGGTGATGATTTAAAACCTAAGCAGTTGCTATCAATAAAAAAGGCCCTACGTCTACATATCTACTGGGACTTTTGTGATTTCCAGTTTTCTGGTTCGTCTATAGTGACTGGAAAATTGTCAAGATGTATAACAAACAGTTAACAGTGCTATTCATTCAAACAGAAGGCATCCTGATTACATCGAAGGGATACAGAATAATGCGTATTAATTATCTCCGATACGCAATATATTTTGGGGTAGTAAGTGGGACGTCACGGTTTTCCATGTAGTCCAAAAACTTTGCAAACACCGACCGTGTAACACCAGACACTTTGATCAACAGAAATCCCCCATAGTTAGCGACCAGACGTTGTGTTTTCAACCACCATTCCCAATCACTGGAATAGATTATTTCGGTCCGTTTCTAATGGAGTTTTGAACGGCCCACCGAAGGTTCTATGGATGTCAATTTACCTCCTTGTCAGCTAGGGCGGTTCACACCAAAATCACTCGTTGCATGGACATTACTTTTTTCTTATGCGCATTTTTCGGATTTGTGGCCCGACTAAGAGTGTCAAGAAGGATATTTAGCGACAATTGTAGGAAGTTTCCTGGGGTCGAAGTGTAATACAAATCGCAGCTTTGATCGCGGAACCATGAACTGATCAGCCTGATGAAACAGAATTATTTCTGGGTATCTAACCCATTTTACCCGAGTAATCGAAGTGGGGATTAAGAACGTCTCATTTGATCCAGGATGAAGCTCATCAGACTAATAGCAGGTTACCAACTACTTAGTGCCGAGACAACCCAAACTACGCTAATGGACATAGAAGGGATATCGAAAGAGAGATAGCTGATTCTGAACGTAAATAGCCAGAAGGATTTGGATACAATACATCCAGCCAACTGTTAACGATATCGATGCGAAAGTAAACACAGTGAGAAGAACCAAGTACTACGGCAAATTTGTGTTGACGATAATGAATAACACAAATTTTCACCAAAGACTTCTGGCAGAAATGACGGCCGCTCTATGTCCCGACGATTCAAAGACATCAAAATGGCACGGTAGAGAGTGAGTAGAAAGATAGTGACCTTGTGCTACTTTCAGATATGCGCCCGTCAAGAGGCCCGTGGTTCAAGTGCTTCGCACAAGAATTAAACAGAGATACTGATGATCGCTGATATAAACAGCCAGGAACAACCCAAGGAAAAATACGAAAATGTGTTAGACAATTGTGCCACTTAGATGGGACATTGGATGAAGAAGAGGTTTCCGCAGATGTCACCGTTCCTCAAGTGTGTGAGGAATTTGAATTCTCCGAACGATAATTTGAACACTCCAGTATTTGTGCCTTGACTACTTACGAATATTTGGACAGTCTCCCAATAAACGACAAACTTCATTGACTCCGGTACACAATATAAAATATTAAATTATTGAATCCTAGTTTTGGATAG